CTCTCTGGGATTTCAGCAGGCACTTTGCTGGTGCTGCTGCAGGCAGCCAGGGGACAGATCTGTCCCCAGCCTTGCTGGGAGTGCTGTCCCAGCCTGTGCTGTCCCACTGCAGCTGCTCCCTCCCCATTCACGCTGTGCCTTCATCCTCCTGGAGCCTGCGCTCTGCTCAGGAGCTCTGCCTTGTCATCATCATCCTTCTCCTAATTCCTGGTTTCATGTCCTGCAGCCTCAGACTGAACTCCTTCCCTGGCACTAATAATACACATTCCAGCTCCTCTTTTAGCTGAGAACTCCCACTGCCCTTCCCTAATGGAATCACCTGCCTCATCCCTGTGCTGGTGTGTCAGCGCCTGCCGTCTCCTCGCTGCCCACCCTTCTGACACACTTTATCTTCACTCTGCTTCCTCTCCGTTTCCTAACTGCAGCTGGCTGTGGAGCTTGCCCGGCTCTCTCCCATTTCTAACTGCAGCTGGCTGTGGAGATTGCCCAGCTCTCTCCCATTTCTAACTGCAGCTGGCTGTGGAGCTTGCCCAGCTCTCTCCCATTTCTGCCTGCAGCTGGCTGTGGAGATGTGCCCAGCTCTCTCCCATTTCTAACTGCAGCTGGCTGTGGAGATTGCCCAGCTCTCTCCCATTTCTAACTGCAGCTGGCTGTGGAGCTTGCCCAGCTCTCTCCCATTTCTGCCTGCAGCTGGCTGTGGAGATGTGCCCAGCTCTCTCCCATTTCTAACTGCAGCTGGCTGTGGAGATTGCCCAGCTCTCTCCCATTTCTAACTGCAGCTGGCTGTGGAGCTTGCCCAGCTCTCTCCCATTTCTGCCTGCAGCTGGCTGTGGAGATGTGCCCAGCTCTCTCCCATTTCTGACTGCAGCTGGCTGTGGAGCTTGCCCGGCTCTCTCCCATGGAACCACAATCCTTTCTTCAATCACAAACCAGGGAACAAAGGCTCAGGCAGCTCTCAGTGTTCTTAAGTTACCTGATGCTGGAATACACAGACACCAAAGCAGCTGAGATTGATTTTCCAGAGCAGCTGGGGAATCCTGGTGATCAGATCCCAATAATGATGAGTTTCCAGCTACCTTGGAGCACAGAAATCCTCACGTGGAAAACTTGGCAATTAACATGTCACTGGCACCAGCCACGGCCTGATCTTCAAACATTCCTTTTTCCAGGTATTTGTAGTCACGATTGTATTTCATATTCTCCCCTGCAATTAGCACATTAATCAGCCCCTGTATTTTAACATATTACATGTCACCTTTAAAAGCCCCTGAGGCTGCCAGAGTTTTGGGGGAAGGCAGATTCTTCTCTCTCCAAGAATCTCCCCCAGCGATGGCCTTTCCAAAAATTCCTCTGCCATTTTCATTTCGAGTGACATTTTACTGGAAAGGATCTGAGCATATTCCATCTCAGCCTGAGTAAGTCTCTGGATATTGTTAGTCAATTAATAAAAATGTGAACAGCTTCCTGAGTGATGTGTGAGCGATAAACATTCAGCAAAGCCTTCCTCCTCCCCTCCCTGCCTGTGAATTGCGCTGCTAAAAATAAAGGGGATGACAGAATTTGGGGCTTGGGTGACGAGAGCAGCCCTGCAGTGACTTGCAGCGGGGAGCAGCAGCTGGCAGGTTCCTCACAGCTGACATTTGGAGCTGTTCCCAGCACTGCAGCCGCTGCAACCGGGGGAAACCTCATGGAAATCATCAGGCTCTTCCTTGGACTTGCAGGGAAACAAAGCATGGGATTGCTGCTTCTTCCAGTGGGATTTGCTTTTTGGCTGCTGCCTCTTGTGTCCCTCACCCTGTCCCTGCACCGTGCACCCCATGGGAGCTGTCTCCTTTAAATGAGGAGGGGATGATTTTTAAGGATGTGGATAAACAAGCACCGGGACAGGCTGAGCTGGACACATTTAATTGGATTTGTAACAGGAGATGGGTTCGAATATCGAGCTGCATTTTCTTGTCAGCATTTTAATTATTTTAAGGAATGTTTGCCTTGCTGTACTTGAGCGTTCACATTTATCTAGTGCTGAAAAATCCCACCCAAATCACTGCAGAGCCAGTGCAGACTCTGCCTTTGGGAGAGGTTCTACTGGATACACAGCAGATAACTGCTCCGAGCACAGTAAATAACCCAGGAGACAGGAAATGTTGTGGAAATACCTTTATCTTCCAGTTACTTCAGCTTCCCTGCTTGCAGAGGATGGAAATTGCTGCAGTTATTTATTGTCTGGGCTGCAGAGAGCTGGGCAGCCTGGAGCTGATCCATGTGGACAGCTGGACACTTCCTAATGCCTCAGCACCAAAGTTTAATTGCTGCTGAGATGGAGCTTGGTGACCGGGAGAGATGAACTGGGGTTCTGCCACTGGAACCTGGCACGGGGAGCCCACGGCTCTGGGACTGCTGTCCCTGTCTGGGGACAGTGTCACAGCACTGGCAGTGTCACAGCACTGGCAGTGTCACAGCCCATGGCAGTGTCACAGCACTGGCAGTGTCACAGCCCATGGCTCTGGGACTGCTGTCCTTGTTTGGGGGACAGTGTCACAGCACTGGCAGTGTCACAGCACTGGCAGTGTCACAGCCCATGGCTCTGGGACTGCTGTCCTTGTTTGGGGGACAGTGTCACAGCACTGGCAGTGTCACAGCACTGGCAGTGTCACAGCTCATGTCCCTGTCCCTGTTTGGGACAGCCCATGGCAGTGTCACAGCACTGGCAGTGTCACAGCACTGGCAGTATCACAGCCCATGGCAGTGTCACAGCACTGGCAGTGTCACAGCCCATGGCTCTGGGACTGCTGTCCTTGTTTGGGGGACAGCGTCACAGCACTGGCAGTGTCACAGCACTGGCAGTGTCACAGCCCATGTCCCTGTCCCTGTCTGGCAGCACTGGCAGTGTCACAGCCCATGTCCCCTGTCCCTGTTTGGGACAGCCCATGGCAGTGTCACAGCACTGGCAGTGTCACAGCCCATGGCAGTGTCACAGCCCTGGCAGTGTCACAGCCCATGGCTCTGGGACTGCTGTCCTTGTTTGGGGGACAGTGTCACAGCACTGGCAGTGTCACAGCACTGGCAGTGTCACAGCCCATGTCCCTGTCCCTGTCTGGCAGCACTGGCAGTGTCACAGCCCATGTCCCCTGTCCCTGTTTGGGACAGCCCATGGCAGTGTCACAGCACTGGCAGTGTCACAGCCCATGGCAGTGTCACAGCACTGGCAGTGTCACAGCCCATGGCAGTGTCACAGCCCATGGCAGTGTCACAGCCCATGTCCCTGTCCCTGTTTGGGACAGCCCATGGCAGTGTCACAGCACTGGCAGTGTCAGGTCACAGAGCTGCTGCCTCAGCTGCCACCTGTCCTGCAGCTTCAGGGGAGCCAAATGCCATAGGGAAATAGGGAAAATCCTGGTTTTAACGGGAAATTCCTCCTTTGCCCTTGCTGCCAGCAGCTGAAATATGGAATGTTGATCCGTGCTCGGACCGAATGCCTCAGGGAGAGCGTTATCATGGAATCATGGAATGGCTTGGGTTGGGAGGGACCTTAAAAACCATCCAGATCCCTTTTCAGGGACAGGGACACAGGGCATGGCTGTGTCAGGGAGGGCAGAGCTGCTCCTTCCCTCACGGCACTGCAGGGAACTGAGGCAGGATTGCAGGGATCAGCAAGGCTGGAGCAGTTCATGGATCGGGAAGAGATGCAGGACCCACACCCAGATCTAAAGGTGTCCATGGAGAGCTTCACCTCATCTTCTCCACCTGCCCAGACTGTGGAGCATCTTCCCAAACTCTGAGTGTGTCCTCCCAAGCCAGCTGGGAAGATGGATCCTGACAGAGCACCAGAGACCCCGCTCCCACTGGAAAGCTTGGGAGTCAGCTGAATGCAATTCCCAGGAGGAAAATCCCATCTCATTTCCTGCTGACACCAGGACTACCTCAAAATGCCTGATGTGGGATTTCAGTGTCCATCATCAACCTCAAAATGCCTGATGTGGGATTTCAGTGTCCATCATCACCAAGGGGCTCCAGGAGAGGGACTTGGGACAAGGGATGGGGTCACAGGACAAGGGGAAATGGTTTCCCAGTGCCAGAGGGCAGGGACGGGACAAGGGGACAAACATCAGGAAGGTTTTGTTCACGGCAGGGGTGACGGATATTGGCAGGGGGTTTGCAGTGCCCATCCCAGAGGTGCCCAAGGAAGGGCTGGATGCGGCCCTCTGCTCCGGGCTGGGGACAAGGTGGGAATTGGGCACAGCCGGGACCCCATGGGCTGGGAGGGCTTTTCCAACCCCAGGGATGATCCTGCTGGATCGGATCTTAAGGGGAAACTTTTCGTGGCACAGGCTACCGGCTGTGGCTGTCCCTGGATCCGGGCAGTGTCCCAGGCCAGGCTGGGGGGAGCACCCTGGACAGGGGAGGTGCCCCTGGCGGCCGGGCCGGGCCGGGCCGGGCTGAGCTGGGCCGGGCTCGGCTCGGCTCGGCACGGCTCCGCTCGGCTCGGCTCGGCTCGGCGCGGCTCGGCTCGGCTCGGCTCCGCTCGGCTCGG